CTGTATTGTTTTGGAGGCTGTGGGTCCAGCCTGGCCTCGAACTCACAGAAATCTGCCTGCCTCTGCCTCCCAAGTGCTGGGATTAAAGGCGTACGCCACCACCGCCCGGCTCCGTCTCCCATTCTAATAACTGATAAACCCTACTAGAGAGGGCTATGGAGTGGACTCCTCGAGTCCATACCTGAAAAGTATAGAGTGGAACGCTCGAAGAGAACACAACAGAGCCCACAGCCCGTCTCGCTGCAGCTATTCTGACACACAGGGCTCCAGCTGTCAGCAAGGGAATAGAAGTACAGCTGTTGACACGCAGGAGGCGCCGAATGGTTAGCAGCTCCCTCAGCCCTGCTTCCTGGGCTCCCTCGCCCTGAGAGACTGAAGTAATTTTCCACTGAACAGCTTGTGAGCTCTGCATTCTGGTCTGCAGGTGGACCCCTCGAGCTGCTCTAGTCTGGTTCAGGCCTTATAAACGAAGGAGCTGTTGGGCTCTATTATTTTCATGTCAGTTTCTTGGGTTTATCTAAATAAACACTTCCATATTCTTTTTGTCGGCATTTAAGTGGATTAAGTTATGGCAGGGGGAGTTCGGTGCGCTGTGAAATCCAGTGTCGACTCTCAGCCTTCGGAGTCAGCGAAGGAGAGGCACAGGGTGGCTCTCTGAGTAACTCGGAGAAACACGAAACAACCCTCCAAAGAAAGAGCCAACATGCTTAGAATGTTGGGGTCACACACCTCACAAGCTCCCCCTTTAACTTCTCTGGGTGAATTACATGGCCAGTTCTAGGTAAGACTGAAAACCCAAACCTAGATAATTAAGGCCCCAACCTTTGCATCTCCCCTCAGGCAAATCACTATGAAACAAAGTGCGTAAGCCTTAAGCGGACATTGATTATAGAGAATGATGTTCTAAGCGAGGGGGAACTGACATTCCTTTTTCTGTCTTTGTTTGGATTGGCTCTGTCTCTGTGTAGCCCAGGCTAGCTTTGAAATCATGACCTTCATGTCCCCCGAGTGCTGGGATCCCTGGTGCTGTGACACTCAGCTAATGCTGGACCTCACATGCATTACTCAGGACCAGTTCCTACCTTAGCCCCATGAGCTAACGGTCATCCTCATCTTTCGGATAAGGGGAGCAATCCTTGGGGAAGTGGCTGACATTACAGAGCAGGCCGGAAGAAGGAAGGCTTCTCTCTGCAGCATCCGGGAAAGGACCTTCCGTCTTCTCTTGTGTTTCCCCAGTCTTCGCTGGAGTATGAGTTCAGGGTCCTTGAAGTGTCCCAGAGATCTCTTCCCATTGGTCAAGTATCCTTGTGAGTACGCATTTAAAAAGGCTTTCTTATTACAGTTGTTTATGCTCTTCTTGACAGCCCGAGACACCAGTGCTCAAGGGCATGGTGGCTGGACTCTGGGTTCTAACGAGCATGGGCATTCCCGAGCTTTGGGAATGAAGAGAGTTGGTCAGTGGCCAGAAGGCCAGGAGAGTGGATCACAGTACGTAGGATCACCGAGTGTCTGGTAGGTGCCAAGCGCGGTGCTGAACACACCCTGGGGACCATTTGGCTTAACCATCCCGACACCCCTGCATGGGAAAGCCACTAGGAGGCTTACCTCATATATGAGAAATTTAGACTGAGAAGGTCAGTCAGTCACTTCATCCTAGGTCCTACGGCCGGGAAGAGCCAAAGTCAGTGCTAGCCACTTTGGTTTGGGAGCTTATACCTTGTCCCTTGTCCCGGTGACCCTGGTGCCAATTGAATTACCCACGCTCGCATTGCCCAGGCAGGTGGTTCTCTCTGCAAATGCACTGCCATGCACACTGCAAGCAAAAATGGGTTCTGCCTCTTGGGTGATTTGGTCATGATTCTCTCTTGGCAATCAGATCCGAAGTTCCTTTTCCTTCCCCCCTGGAAGCATCCTTCCGGCAAAGCTAGGCAGGTCGAGGGCTTCACTGCTACAAGGGCACCAGGGCTGCTTGGCCTCACTGTCCAGGACACACACATGCCAGAGCCTTTAAACGACCCCCAGACAGCCAGATCCCGATCAACAAAGGGAGAAAAACAAAGAATCTTCTCGGCCACGTTCTGTAGTTTCCATTAGCTTAACTGTCATCAAGAACAATGCTGACTCAGGATCTGAATGATTTCTTTCTCTGCTTGGGTTCCTGCCTTTGGCTCGCTGCCGTCCCCTGCCTGCCACAAGGCATGAATACAGGTCTCCACTGCATCTGTCTCTCTGCAAGGAGACAGATAGCGTGCAGTCTGGAGCAGGGAGCAATACAGCTTATGGCTCGGGAGAGTGCATCCAAGCCCTGGCTCGGACACTGCGGAGCTGTGTCCTTGAGCCCATTGCTCAGTCAAAGGCTCGTCTTTCTTCCTCTATCAGCTCCAGACTCGGAGGCTGCCTCCTTGTGATGACTGTGGTCAGGGTCCATAAGGCAGGCAGAAACAGTGCTCAGGGGAGTGCGCAGACCGGGCCCTACGCCAGGCGGTTGGAGCTTCCTCTGACTTCATGGCGGTGTTGTGCTACATGGTAAGGCTCCCTTGAGTTCTCCACCTAGGCATTCATACTTCACCAGGCAGGGCCTGGGGGGCCCTAGGGATTTGTGGACTGCTAGATTCTTTGCATCAGAGCGTAGCCCTCCCTTTCTCAAATGCCCAGCGTTATGTGTAGAAGACGGACGCTCCATTCCATGTCCACTTGGTCCAGGGTGGCTTCTCAGGACCAATCATCCCTCTGCTCTGCTTTCTGTCTTCTCCGCCATGTCCCCCTTGGTACCAAGCCCATGTGGTTTTCACCCACACAGGGGAAGGCAGCTACTGGCTGTCTAAACCATCTTCTTCTACCACACATTTTTTTCTTCTTAAAAAGTACTTCCGTGTTTACGTGCTCACATGTACAAACACACGGGTTGGAAGCTGGAGAACAGCCGTGAGGAGGTGTTTCCTTCCAACAGGGGGTGTTCCCGGGTCAGACTCAGGGTCAGATCTGCGTAGCCACCTCACCAGCCTCAATTTACCTTTTTATTTTTTATCCTGCCTTTAAAATGTCTTCTTATTGTTGTCAGTTAATATGGGGAATGGTGGGTTTCATTATGGCCCTCACATACATACATACATACATACATACATACATACATACTCGGGACTCCTGCCACGCATGCTTACAAGTCTAAAGCTTGGGTTCGGAAGCCAAGCAACAGCATGGTCTTGCTGTCTCAGAAGCATCCTGTCAGTCCCTCGGACTTACTCCATTGGCCGCTGCCTTTGGTGGCCTCGCTGGCCTCTACCTGCGTGGCTATTGCTGCTGGGTACTGTGAGTGCATCGGTCTCTAACACACGTCTACCTGGCTTGCAGTAGGTGTTGCATCCATGCTTGCTGAATGATGACGTGTCTTCCCTGAGAGACCGTCTGGTCTAACTGCCAGGTACGATTTTTAAGCTCCTTGGTGCCATTTTGTACACAAGAGAGATTATTGAAAATTAACGTAGCTTTTAAAATTAGTCTTTGATTTATTATGCGGCTGAGGTTTAGGGTTAAATTTGTATATCTTGAAGCTTTTAAGTTAAATCATAAATGTTTTGCTTATAAGTCCAGCAAGCTCCAGCCATCACATTTAAGGGGAAACTGATTATGTTTAGTCCCATTTACAAATTTGGTCAAATTGCTTTTAAACTGTTTTCATGAATTCAATAGATTCAATTTCTTCTTCAATATCATACTTGTCTTACCGAAAAACATTCTGGATACTTAAGTAACTTGTATAAGCTTATTATGTTAAATTTATAAGTATGTCAAACCTCTAGTTTTAAAAAATATTAACTCTGTATTGGACCTGTTAAGATTTAAGCTTAAAAAAAAACCCACAAGTTTAAATCAATTATACATGTAAAAATAGGATGACGAGCTTATATCTTATCCTATTAGATTAAGTTCTCATAAATGACATAAATATGTAAAATGCCAAGGTTTCACAGAGTTAGCAGCTGCAGAGTTATGCATGACTGTGAGCCTGGAACTCAGGAATCTGAGGTAGGAGGATCTGGACTTCAAGACCAGGGTGGACGGCAAAACCAGACTGAAACCTCAAACCCAAAGAAAGTGAATTGGAGGGCTCCAAATCCCCCCTAAACAAACAACCCCAACCCTGAAAATATTAGTACTACACATTTTAGGTTCTTTTTTTTTTTTTTTTTTTTTTTTGGTTTTTTGAGACAAGGTTTCTCTGTGTTGTTTTGGAGGCTGTCCTGGAACTCGCTCTGTAAACCAGGCTGGTCTCAAACTCACAGAGATCCGCCTGCCTCTGCCTCCCACGAGTGCTGGGATCAAAGGCATGCGCCACCGATGCCCAGCCCGTTTTAGGTTCTTAAGTAGCTCTATGCTTGTCTTTAACACATTCTAAGTCAAAAGGCGCTGATGTGCTGGGAAAGCCACTGTGGACCCCAAATGACCTTCCTTCTCTTCTCCTTTTCTCCTCTGTTCAACCCTTTTCCCAACCAACCTGATCACACCCGGTGAAGAAGGCCTTGCTGCCAGCAGCTTACGAGACCACGGCCATGACTTGCCCTCTGAGGATTTCTGCATAGACGATCCCTGAGGTCTTCGCCGTTGTAAAGGGAGGCTTTTTCCTTGAGAGAAGCCTTCCCGCCAGCCTGGTTCTAGAGCCGCATCAGTCCCAAATAAACACACAGGAGGCTATATTAATTATGAAGCTGTTGGCCTTGCTTGTTTCTTACTGGCTAGCTCTGTCTTAAGTAATTACCCCATAATTGTTAATCTAAGTATGTCTCTTACCGGAGAAGTTTCCGGGCCTCCTACCCCATGGCGTTACATCTTGACCCTCTTGTGTTTCTCCTTCCCAGAGTCCTCCTGGACTCCTAGTCTCACCTATCTAGATTCCTATTGGCTCAACAGTGCTTTATTGACATAATCACAGGACCTCCCACATCACGCCGTCAACTCTCAATTCCCATTTTTAAACATATTCACAAATGCTTTTCTTCTTAGACCAACATGAGCGAGCAGAATCACTGAAAACAGAACATCCACCGGCTGTGTGGAGAAGGCATCAGAGAATGCTGAGGACTGGCGTGAGTGCCTGCCCCCTCTCTCTCCCTTCAAATGTTGTTGCATGGGTCCTAAGGATGCCTGGGCCTTTTGGCCACAAGCGATCATCAAGACTTAACATCTGGGAATACGTACCAAAACTTTAAAACCTGGAAGATCCACTTGGAAATTGCCTGTTCCAGCTTATTTAGAAAACTCTGACTGCTGGGTTGTACCCTTGCCCTGCTTCTAAGGGTGAGCTCAGTTGATGGAATTAGTTTTATTCTCTCACACCATAAAAACAAAATCAGAAACTATAATATACAAGTAAAAGACCAGTAAGGAGAAAGAATGCTCAAACAAAGCAATATGAGACAAAAAGTCTATAAAAATACCTTTGAATGGCCAGGCAGTAGTGGCGCATGCTTTAATCCCAGCACTCGGGAGGCAGAGGCAGGCGGATCTCTGTGAGTTCGAGGCCAGCCTGGTCTACAGAGTGAGTGTCAGGACAGGCTCCAAAGCTGCACAGAGAAACCCTGTCTTGAAAAACAAAACAACAAAAACAAAAGAAAAAAAGGAAAAAGAAAAAAGAAAAAACTGTTGAGTTAATTTTGTGTTGGCTATGGAACTTAACCTTAAGTATGGTTAATACGCCTAGCAAGACTCCATTGGAGAAAACGAATTTTTCTTTTGTAAGCAGTTATCATCTTCTTGGCAGGGTTAGCCACCTGTGTTCTTGGTCTCCTCTTAGCTTGGTCTACATATCAAATTCCAGGACAGCCAGGCCTGACAGAGTGAGCTCCTGTCTCAAAAGAAACAAAACAAAACAAAACACTGTGCTAAGAGAAATGTTAAAAGTTTTTTTTTTTTTAAGTAAACGGGGCAAGGAGGAGTCAGTGTTATTAACATGCCAAGTCTCTTTGTATTGGTCTAGAGCTAAAACATAAAATGAAATATTTATCAGAATCCCAGCAAGCTTGCCTTCAAAATTAATAATAATAAAAAAAAGGTAAAACGACTCAGCACAGGTGGGCAGGCAGAAGACAGCGGCCAGAGGCCTGCCATGTGCTGGGCACTGCTGCCGCGAGCAGAGGCCTGCCAGGTGCCGGACAGCGCTGCAGCGAGCAAATACGCAGCGGAGAAATGGGAGAGAGAGAGAGAGGAGCAGAGTAGTTGATGCGCTTAGAAGAAGGGGCAGAACCGGAGAGGTAACGGTGGTGATGAGGAATATGCAGATGTGAACGGTTGCACCGCCCCCTGAGGCCATGTGACGTCTGGGCCTGTGGTCTGCATCTGGCTCTACCATGGTCAGGGTCTGTGCTGATGTCCATGGCATGCGGTACACCAAAGGCCGTATGGGTATCTGTGGTCTGGGCTGTCACCTGAGGCTACAAGATTCACGTCCAGGCCTGAGCAGCTGCCAGGGACCACATCTGGGTCCATGGTCTGTGTTACTACCAAAGGCCATGTAGATAGATGCCTGTGATCTGGACTGCTGACTAAAAGCCATGTTGATGTTGGCGTTGGTGTTCAGGGTGCTAAGCTGGTCCCGCCCTTCATGGGAGATCTGGCCCGGGGAGCCTGGATGCAGGAGAGAAGGCCCCATCCATTACCAGCCCTGGGAGAACTGGTCCCATCCCTTGCTGGCCACCACATGTGGGGAAGTAGGTGCGTCAAGGCAGAGTGGGTGTGTGCCCAGGAGAGCTGGTCCTGATGGTGTGGGTATCTGGAGCTGGCCCTGCCCCTTGCCTGAGGTGGGGGTTCCCTGGTGGAGGCCTGGGCTGACCAATTTCAATTACCACCCAGGCCCAGGGTTTTGAGTTGGCCCATGCCAACATCTACCCCATCTATGACCTGCTGGAGCACATGAAGGGGCTGGTCCTATGGAACCACAGCCACAGGATCTCCTTGACTTGAGGTAGCAATGGGACACCCAAGTGAAGTCTCAGTGAGGGTCCATTATTGATGGTGTATCAGAAGCCAGAGAGGCCTTGGGCCAGACCAACAACTCACTCCTTGCAATGAACATCTGCAGGTAAAGCTGTATGGACAAAAGAACATACCGTGTGACACACTGAAACTCCCCAGGCCACTGCAGCCTTGAATGTGTGACGGAGAGGAGGGAGAGACAGAGGAGAGAAGTGGACTTTATTAATTTCTTTTCTGTTGGGGGGCGGCTACTAAGGTGGGGGGACTGATATGGAGGGACAGGGAAATGAGTGGGGTTGGGGTGCATGAAGTGAAATTCCCAAAGAATCAATTAAAATCATGCTAAATTTATAAAGGCAAAAAAAGAAAAAGTAAAAATGAAAAGACAAGAAACAGACTTGTTTTAAGTGCATAGTTGTAAAACACACCCAATGAAAGACTGTAAAGAGTTTACACAGAGCAATTACTCCTATAATTTGTAAGGAGATACAGACTCAAGTGGGCAAGACAGAGACTGTTTTTTTTCCAGCAAAAAATGGTGTGTGTGTGTGAATAATGAAAAAAGAGGTCCCACATTATTGGTCATTAGGGAAATGCAACTTAAAACCTTAATGCGATAACATTTCACATTCCTCAAATGGCTCTTGGAAATAAGGCAGACAACGAGAACTTTTGTCGAAGAAGTAGAGAAACAAACTCCATACATTGCATGCAGAAATGTAACATACACTAGCCGCTTTGGAATACTTTGCAGTTTCTCAAGAAAGTTAAGTATAGAATTTCTGTTTAACATTGCCATTTCACTCCTAGGCAGAGAGAAACGAAAGCATAACTGCAAGACAGACTTGGCCAGAGATATCCATAGCACTGTTATTCATAATATCTCAAAACTAGAACAATCCGAATGTCCACGGACTGGTGAGTAGACAGAGAATATATCCAGACAGCGGAGTAGCGATAGTTGGTGAAGGAGGATGAATTAATAATGTTCTGTGTTACCGGTGAATCTCAAAAACATGCTAGGTTTAAAAAGCCAGTTTTGCAATATATCACACATACGTGCTTTTATTTTATGAAATGCTCAGGAAAAGCAAGCTTACAGAGACAGAGTATAGATTAATCATTCGCTAGGGTAAGAATATGAGAATGAATTAACTATGAATGAGCAAGAAGGGATTCAGTTGGAGGAACAGAAATGCTGCAGTGCTGGACAATGTAACTAAAAGTTACTGAATTATACACTTAACGTAATAGATACAAAGTACACACCAGTCAAGTTGTTAAAGAAAAGGCCTATGGCCCGGGAAAGATGCTTTGACTTTTCTATGCTTTAGTTTGTTTCCTTGTGAAATGACGATGAGAATGTTTTCCTTGTAGGGGCACTGGGTACAATTATATAAGATAGTAGGGACCTACAGCTGAAAGTCAGAATGATGCCTGATTTGTTGGTCTGAATGAGAATGGCCCCTGTAGGCTCATATGTTTAAATATTTGGTCCCCAGTTGGGGGAACTGTTGGGGAAGGAGTAGGTGGTGTGGCCTTATTGAAGGAGGTGTGTCTGGGGGGGGGCTGGCTTTGAGGTTGCAGAAGACTCTAAACCTTGTCTCTTGGCTCCTAATTTATGTTACCTAATAATATGTTCTTGTAATTCTCATGGTGGTACAGAGCTTTCTTCCTCCAGTAGCACGGTGCTTGGCTGTGTGTGGATTTACCGTGGTTTCTTTGGATAAAATTCCTGGTGATGCTTCTTGTGTCTGGCTGCTATTCATGGTGCCACAGTTCATGGCCTTGGCGATGCAACACATTTACAGACACACACACACACACACACACACACACACACACACACACACAATCGCCAACCCAATAACACAGTTCATGGCCTTGGCGATGCAACACATTTACAGATACACACACACACACACACACACACACACACACAATCGCCAACCCAATACCACAGTTCATGGCCTTGGCGATGCAACAAATTTACAGATACACACACACACACACACACACACACACGCACACACACAATCTCCAACCCAATACCACAGTTCATGGCCTTGGCGATGCAACACATTTACAGATACACACACACACACACACACACACACACACACACACACAATCGCCAACCCAATACCACAGTTCATGGCTTTGGCGATGCAACACATTTACAGATACACACGCACACACACACACACACACACACAATCGCCAACCCAATACCACAGTTCATGGCCTTAGCGATGCAACACATTTGCAGATACACACACACACACACACACACACACACACACACACACACACACACAATCGCCAACCCAATACCACAGTTCATGGCCTTGGCGATGCAACACATTTACAGATACACACACACACACACACACACACACACACAATCGCCAACCCAATACCACAGTTCATGGCCTTGGCGATGCAACACATTTACAGATACACACACACACACACACACACACACAATCGCCAACCCAATACCACAGTTCATGGCCTTGGCGATGCAACACATTTACAGATACACACACACACACACACACACACACACACACACACACACAATCTCCAATCCAATACCATTTGTGAAGCAATTCCATTTTGTAGCAGCTATTGCTTTGAAGCTTTGAAGCTACTCATTTGCTTAGGCTACTAAATGTCTCTGGACCAAGTCTTTGATAGTAACCATGGTTTATTAATCATCTTCTGTGAATATCAAATTATTTAATGCCCACAACCAAATTGGTGAATATGCACTGTTCCCACGACAGCTGCTGGCCTCTGAGAAGGAAGCGCTGGGCAGATTACTGATGTGTTCCAGCGTGCTGATGAGACACTTCACAAAGGACTCAGCTGCTCAGAGCTCCAGCCGGGAACTAAAATTCAGTTTAGGTGAAGTCGAACCATTGGCTTCCCATTTGCTGCGCGACACTGACCCAGACCTAGATAACTCCGTTCTCGCTAGTGGCGGGCAATTTTCATTGCAACTGTTGGATTTGGGGGTGAGCCTTGGAAAGATGAAATTTCCTCATCTATAATTTTAGGATAATGACAATCCTTACTTACGGGGATTGTTTTGAATAGTAGGTGCAGGAAGATACACATAGAAAATGCCTATGCCAGTGCCTGGCCTATCCCCATGTTTGACCCATCTCCATGCCTGGCCTATGGTCAGGATTCATAAGCTATAGCTACTACTGTTATTAATATTTTGGAGAAGTTCAGGATCAAATTTCCATCTTTTTCAGGCCTTCATTTTCGTTCTTTATGCCTCCTACCCGTGCAGGAAGGAAAGCAATTTGATATGTGGAATTGAAAGCCAACAGATTTACCTAAGATTTCATGCTAGGCCATCACAGCTTACGTTTGGAGTCTATAGGAAAAAAATAATCTTTTGTTCATTTTGATTCCCCTCAACACAGCTCAGTTGCTTATCTGACAATGTGTATTGGTCATTAAGGCAGCCTCAGAAAATTATCTGTCCATTTCCTGAATAGAGACTTTCTTAATTTAAAAAAAAATCTTCCATAGTTTTTGGACATTTTATTTTTAAATGGAGCAACTTATAGTGCATTGAATTTACTTCATGAGCTGTCATTAGGCCACATTCTTGAGTCTGTTCTCTTGTGCCGATTAAATGTAGATTCAAATTCTGAAAATGTTTTTATAATAGCATCATAATTGTTAAGTGCTGCTTTTTAAATGCGTTGGCTACTCAGAGAAGAAGAGGAAGGAGGAGGAGGAGGAAGAGGAGGACGGGGAGCAGGAGGAAGAGAAGGAAGAGGAGGAGAAGGAGGAGGAGGAGGAGGAGGAGGAGGAGGAGGAGGAGGAGGAGGAGGAGGAAGCAGAGGAGGAAAAGGAGGAAAAGGAGGAGGAGGAGGGACGCCCCTGACTTGCGGGTTTTATGTCTTCCCCTAGTTCTTCTGACTCTGCAAGCGGTACGTGTCAGCTTCACCAGCCTGTAGGAGGGAAAAGGCTGAGTTACACAAGCAGCCAGTTCGGCTGTGGGAATGATGGGAGCCAGGCACAGGGTCACCGCAGCACGGCAGGAACGTGTGTTCCTTGCTGTATTTGTTTAGTAATTTAACTCGGTCACTGAGAAAACTACGTTCTTAGAAACAAATGCTCTTGAGCGGAGAAGTACCATTCTCCTGTGTCATGAGGCCTGGGGTTCTGTTGACTTGGCAGGAGAGCGCCCCCTACAGCATGGGAGGGAGCTCAGGTCTGTTAACCACTGCTTCTGACCCAAGACAGGGGGACCCACATGTGTACGGTGCAGCTGCTTCCTTCCGGGTCCACGCCCCCTTTCCTCACATGACCTAGCAGGGTTTCTTCAGTGCCCGCACATGACCTCAGCCATGCTTTTGAAAGACCCACTTTAAAAGTCAGCTGTTACATGCAAAGAAGAATAAAGACTGGCGGATCTCCGTGAGTTCCAGGCCAGCCGGGGCTGATACACAGAGACACCTTTTTCTCAAAAGGAAAAAAGAAAAGAGAATAATGTTAATGTTTGCTTGTTTGGGTACCAGGGACTGGACGCCAGGCCTGACAAACAGGTAGGCAAGTGCAAATGTCCCACCACTGAGCTCTGGCCCTCCATACACTTTTTGTATTTGTGACAGGATCTTCGAAGTTTCTCGGGCTCTGAACTTACTCTAGAGCCCAGGGAGTCCTCCTCTTCAGCGGCTTGAGTAGCTGGATTGCAGGCCCTACAAAAGAATGCATTCTGACAAAGCTTTTTCTCTTCTCAGACCCTTGTCTCCGGGTGATGATGCGGGCTGTCTGAGTAACTAAATGCGGTATATCTGGTAAACACATAGCATTGTAGGAACCACATTTGCGAAGCAGCCAGCACTTATGCAAAAACACACATCAGCGAGTGTGAGCGTGTCCAGACTTCTCTTTGAAGTAGATTTCTCAGTGACCTTTGCAGTGTGCTGTCCTCCCAGCATAGATAGAGCTGTTTTCTGCCCCATCAACATTCATCACCATCTCCCAGGGTTGTGGCAGATGGAGAGATCTGTGGCCCAGCGCCGTTCGGAGGCCTGCTCACCACAGCCGAGCTGTTTTACAATGTGGGTTCATTTAGTGAGGAAGGAGACCTAAATCTGATGTGATGCCATATAGCCCCAACATAAAAACACCTCCGATCCATCTCTAGCTACACAGTCATGGGAGGGGTTCTTTCTTCCAACATTTCTGGGATTAGTCCACAGGCTGCCGCAACTGGCAGTGCCCTCAACCCAACACCAGGGGCCAGGACCTCCCCTGACTTTCCTTTGCTATGCCCTTTTTGGTTTCTTCTGATGGAGACGGTAGATGGGAGGAGGAGGCAGGAGAGACACTCCTTTGTCTCAAGCTGATTGCTTAACACTCTTTCTGGTAACAAGTTTTCACTGCAACAACACCGATGCAATGTTACTTAGCCTATAAAGAGAAGTCATGAGAAGAGCCAGTATAAGCCCAGCTTGGTGGCACATGCTTTCAATTCCCGCATACAGGAAGTTGAGGCTGGAGGATAATGGTTTCCAGGCTAGCCTGGAATGTATGATAAAACCCTTTCTCAAAACAAAGAAGAACAACAAAACAAGCCAGCAAGCAAACAAACAAGGACCCCAGCACTGTAAATCAGCAATGAAGTACAAAGAGAAGACAGTTTTTAATAAAGGGTGCTTCCTTGGTAGCTGTTGTGACGCTCACTATTCCTGTCCTTGGCAGGTCAATGCTAACGCCTGCCAGTGCTCAGATTTGACCCCGAGTGAACGCATACATTGCCTGTTCCTGAACCTAAGACGCATTGAGGAATAGCTGTGGCCCAGCAGACATGCATATGAGTGCACTCCGTATTCTGTCTTCATCCTTTTGCAAGATCTACCCTGCCGGCTCCTTCTCTGGTTTGTGGGCCCCTAAGGTGTCCTGGCAGCTCAAGGCTGAAGCCAACACCCCAATTTGCAGTTTTCAGGACAACTTAATTCCTTAGGCAGTGAAGGTCATGTAACGCCTGACTAATTTATTCTCTCTTATTCTGAAAATTGGGGAAGTTTTTATTAAATTCCTTGCAACAGGATTTTTGATTCAAACTGTCTCTTAATCTTGTGTTTGATAAATAATAAATGGCTCACTGCTCACCAAGATGTACAGTCATCAATGACTGCTAATGCTTCATTTGCATATGAAACTACTATTCCATATGGCTGGCCCAATCATTTAGGCCTATTCCAACAGGGGGAGGCAAATTAATTTGAGAAGTTTGAGTTGCAAACTATTGAGTACTATTGAGTCTCTATCAGAAAGAACCTAGAAATTTCGGTTCTGGGTAAGACGACAGAATTAAAGCTGCTTCTGTATGGCCCAGCGTAGGAGGAAATCAGAACAAGAACCGGGCTTGGTCTCCAAGAGAGAGGCAGGACCGCTTCAGACAGTCACAGAGGAAGTCGAGAGAGGCGCTCTCATGCTCTCATGGGGAGTCCTGAAGGCTTGGCAACAAGGGGCAAAATTTTGGTTTGGGTGTCGACCTCAAAATGGGAAATATGTGCTGAATATTAGCTCCACCATTCAATGGCAATTATTCCAGCCTCATACCAGAACGCCTGCATTACATACTTCTAATTATTGCTAGGAATACAGTAAAGAAAACAAAAATTTAACTCTTTCCTAATATGCAATTGGTATTTAGATGCCACATACAGACCAGTGGTTGTTTGACATATTGTCAGCAGGAATTGTGTAACCAAGAGGTTGTTCCTTGGAATCTCTGGCTGGCTTTGTCAGCAGGCAATGAACATCGTATCGTACGCAGGGTCACAGAAGCTCTCTTTTTGGTGCTGAGGATTGGACTACGGCATCACACATGCTAGCACTTACTCTACTGAGCTGTACCACCACCAACATCTCAAGGCTGCCCTGTTTTTCTACTGTGGTTTTTTTTTTTTTGAGACATGGTTTCTCTGTGTAGCTCTGGCTGTCAGCTGTCCTGGAACTCACCCTGTAAAAGAGGTTGGCCTCAAACTCACACAGATCCACCTGCCTCTGCCTCCTGGGTGCTGGGATTAAAGCTGGATTCCATCACCACCTGGCTTTTTTTTTCCAGTGACAGGGTCTTGCTACTTAGTCCAGGATGGCCTTGAATGAACTCACAGGGGCCTGCCTTCCTGTCTCTGGAGGGCTGGAATTAAAGTCAGGTACCATCACACTGAGCTCAAGACTCACTTTTATCAAAGCCACGATATAAAGATTAGCATTTTCTCCTTATTATCTTTCAGCAGACCTTGATACATAATTTAAGAACCGACTCTGATCGCTTACAAGTGTCAGTAACACTCCAGTGTGGGCGTTGTGCCCTTCAACGATGAGGGAGGGTATTGTTTCCTTCTTCCCGTGATGGCGCGGAAGAGGGCACTCCTAGTTCATAGAAGGCCTTTGTGTCGATGATCTATGTTATGGTAAAAAAAAAATAGCCCAACAGGCTTAGCATGACAACCATCAGATGTCACTCATGGTGGGCCTGCTGTAAGGCAGAGCAGGTCTTCAAAGTGGCCGCCCTTTTACGTTGACTCTCCGTTCCAGGAACTGATGTTCTTATGCTGTATCCTCGCTGACGTTACTCATCTGTGGCCACCTTCGCAAGAGGAGGGAGGAAGGGCTGGGAGCTGGATTTCCATCAGATGCTCATTAACGGAGCAGTGAGGGTGTGTGAACTTCCCAGTCTCGCATCGCCAGGCTACCGTCGAGGAGTTAAGAGGCACTTAGAAGTGGAGCCTACCTGGAAGCCGATGACAAGGGGGCTTATCTGTTGTCCTACATCAGACCACTAGGATATCCAGGACAAAGTTTTGGTCTCTCTTTTGATTAGGGAATTGGGAGAAAAGGAATAAACAGGGACAGTGTGACAGCGGTGAAACGGACGTTGGAGATGCCTCCGTGCTATTGAAATAACCGTGCCACGAAGACCGGCAGGAACTACTAGTAACTTCCGAATGCTGCAGCTGCACACGCGCTGCTGGGCATATTGGTGTATAGCAGTCATCTTATCACTTGTGGGGGGGCGGCTGAGGCAGGAAGACTCAATTTGCGGTCAGCCTGTCTCAAAAACCAAGCCAGCACACAACCACGCCCACGCGCGCACGACATGCAGGTCTTTGGTGCAGAGCCTACCGGTCTTTCCCTCTGAGGATTCATGTGCTTTGGCTGGGAGAATCATTGTCCCCCAAAGACATCCATGTCCTGACTGGTAAAAGCGGTGACCCTGTTGTACTTGGCATCAAGCAGTCTGCAAGACTGCAGGCAGGACCTCGTCAACGGACCTTAGCCCAAGTAATGAGATGGCTCTGATGACCCCCGGGGGAGCTCAGCATCATCCCCAGGGCCCTTTAATGTAGAAGCAATAACAGACCTAGAAGATGGCCGTGTAAGGAGGCTGCAGCATGAAGCCGCTGGCTTCGAAGCCGAGGAGGGTACCACAGGCTAAGGGACCGTGGAAGGTCCCTAGAGCTGGAGAAGGCAAAGAAACGGTGCCTTCCCTTCAGCCTTCAGAAGGGACGAGAGTCACAGGCGGTTACAGGAAGACTGCTGTGCCTATGGAAGTCTGAGTTCCCGAGATTCTCTAGAAGAAAGACTGATGTGGAAAACCGGCATTTGCTGGGGGACTGAATATGACAACGACAGAATTACATTCTTAGGGGCATCAGTGTCCCTATGAACAATATTAGATGTCCTTGCAGGAAGAAGAAAGCAGGAAGGACACCGTGTTTTCCTTTTTTTTTTAAACCCTAAGGCTGCATCTTTTTCATTCTTCTGAGTTGGCTTGTTAATCTGCTGAAAAAATTTACCCAGAATGCTAGAAGAGGGAAATGGAAAGCAGCAGTTTTTTTTTTTATCAGAAGCTCCATGTGTCATTAGAAACACTAGAGTTTGCAGCTAAAATTCAACAAATATTCAGGGAAGCCACTGATGAAGGCCTAGGGCTGAAGGTGGAAAACAGCTTTGGGTATGGTCTTTTGGTTTGTTAGGGAAAAAAATTAGGATTATGGAGAAGGAGTGCAGCCTGCCTGCTGGAATCTAGGAGGCAGCCAAGATGAATGGCAAAGTTCCAGCTTCTAATGAGGATTTTAAGTACACTTGTCATTGCACTAATGCATGACTGTCTGGATAAATGGACAGATAGGTAGCAAGTCGGTAGCCGATAGCTATAGGAAAGCTGTTATTTGGAATAACAATCATTATAATACACCTAATAGAGAGGTAAGCATTTGGTTCAATAAAGGGCTGTTGAAGTCTTGATTCAATGAGAGCCCCTTAAGGCCATCAGTGGTAGACACCCAGACAGACAGGTTCCAACTCTCATTTATTATATACTACCAAATCTGGGTGGACAAGGATTCTTTTCTATTATTTCATAAATTCTGCTTTAAGCAGCATTGGCAAATACCTTAAAGATTTTTTTTATGCCTATGCTAAGCTATGCCTGTTGGGAGATGTCATTCTGTAAAAATGTGTCTGATTGGTTTGAATAAAGCACTGTTGACCAATAAGGAAGCAAGATAGGTAGGACTAGGAGTTGAGGAGGATTCTGGGAAAGAGAGACACAGAGAGTCATGATGTAGCCTCCAGAGGAGTAAGAGGTCTGGACCTTTTCTCTGGTAAGAGAAATACTTAGATCAACAATTACGGGTTAAATACTTAAGTCAGAGATAGCCAATAAGAAACCAATCAAACAGCCAACAGCTTCATAATTAACATAGCGCCCTGTGAGTTATTTGGGGGTTCAGACAGCGAGGCAGGGCCCAGGCGGATGGCGGGGAAGGCCACACTCAACACTATGCCTTTTTTAACTGTTCTCCCACTTCCGGCCCCAGTTGAGCGTCAGGAGTTACATGCGGCTTGAGACTCACATGTGTTCATTATTAGGAGCTACTTTGCAATGGCGACAGCGGCAAAGGATAGCTAATGCTACTGTTTTATTTTCTGTTTTTAAAAAAAACAAAAACAAAAAAACCCAAGAGTTTCACGTAGTCCAGGCTGGCCACCAACTCACTGTACAGGTGGAATTTCTGGTTTTCCCGTCTCTACGGTGTTGGGATTACAGGAATGTGTCACCACACCTGACCTTAACGCAGTGCTGGATATCAAACCCAGGGCCTCCTGCACGCTTGAGGCTGGCACTCTACCACCTGAGCCGAACTCCCAAACCTATACAGCTCTGCTTTTGGTCTACTTTCTTCTCCAATAAGGAGCTAAGGTGGGCCTCAAAAAGCCATGCGTTAGAAGGCGAGGGAACGAGGGCAAAAGGAGGAGAAACGTAAGAGCCTGGAGGTGTGGGGCGTGCGGCATGCGGCGTGCGGCGTGCTGCGGCGGTCACTGGGTACGGAGTGAGCCCCTGTGGGATGGGGCGGATCACAGGGTTGGCTCTAGCGCCCTAGCATTTCACAGGGGGAAGATTATCAGTCCCATGGCAGGTCAGATGGCCAGAACCAGAACATTAATTCCTGGAGTCTATATCAGAGAGGAACCTCCCTGGTGGTCTCTGTACAGAGGACCCCTGTAAATTTAGTGGGCTGTGTTCTCAGGAGTACCCTCCCTGAAGACGACAAACTTCTCAGCTGCATTTTGTCACAGCCTTAGGTGGAAGCTTTTGCCACCACTCCCTAGAAGAATCCAGACAACCTACAGGGCGGTAGTGGGGTGGTGGTCAAAAGCTCATATTTCTGCTTCTCTGTGTGTCCGTGGTTTAAACAAGGGGTAGGTTAAGAGTGTCTAGAGCCAGGTCTGGGAATGCTTGCCTATAGTCCCAGGATTCAGGAGGCTGAGGTGAGGAGAATGGAGACTGTGAGGCCACCCTGGGGCTGAGAAGTAGGGTGGTGTCTCAGAAATTCTACAACCAAACCAAATCTCTTTTTTCTCTTTTTCTTTCAAGTTTAAATTAGAAACAAGCTTGTTTTACACATCAGTCCCAGTTCCCCCTCCCTCCCCTCCTCCCCTGGCCCCTGCCGGCCCCTCCTCCATTCCATTTCTGCTCCCTAGGGAGGGTGAGACCTTCCATGGGGGAATCTTCAAAGTCTGTCATATCATTTGGAGCAAGGCCTAGGCCCTCCCCCATGTATCTAGGCTGAGAAAGTATCCCTCTATGTGGAATGGGCTCCCAAAGTCCATTCCTGTACTAGGGATAAATACTGATCCACTACAAGAGGCCCCATAGATTAACTAGACCTCCAAATTGACATCCTCATTCAGAAGGTCTGGCCTGGAACAGTCCTATGCTGGTTTCCCAGCTGTCAGTCTGGGGTCCATGAGCTCCCCCTTGTTCAGGTCAGCTGTTTCTATGGGTTTCTCCAGCCTAGTCTTGACCCCTTTGCTCAGTCCTCTCTGCAACGGGATTCCAGGAGTTTGGCTCAGTGCTTGGCTATGAATCTCTGCCTCTGCTTCCATCAGCTGCTGAATGAAGGCTCTAGGATGGCATTTAAGATAGTCATCAATCTCATTATTGGAGAAGGGCATTTAAAGTAGCCTCTCGACTATTGCTTAGATTGTTTGTTGGGGTCAGCCTTGTAGATCTCTGGACATTTCCCTAGTGCCAGATTTCTCTCTAAACCTATAATGGCTCCCTCTATTATGGTATCTCTTTTCTTGTTCTCCTCTATTCTTCCCCCAGCTCAACCTTCCTGCTCTCTCCTGTCCTCCTCTCCTCTCCTCTTCTCCCCTTCTCTTTCTCCTAACTCCCTCTCCCCTTCCCTATGCTCCCAATTAGCTCAGGAGATCTTGTCCCTTTCCCCTTCTCTGGGGGCCCATGTATATCTTCTCTCTTAGGGTTCTCCTTGTTTCCTAGCCTCTCTGGCAGTGTGGATTGTAGGCTGGTAATCCTTTGCTCTATGTCTAAAATCCATATATGAGTGAGTACATACCATGTTTGTCTTTTTGTGACTGGGTTACCTCACTCTGAATGGTCAAACCAAATCTTAAGAAGTATCCAAAGGATACTACAGGGTGGACAAACACCGGTCCATACACATCCCTGCTCTGCTGGGACCCTGCAGGAGTTTAGCTTGTGTGTTCTACCCTTCCCTTTAGTCGAAGGACACAAGGAGAATGGATGGCACTTGCAGTGTTTCTGTCCGTGTTCAGGCCTCCTCCATCTGGTGACTTGACATGTAAACAAAAATCACTCGTGTTAACCCTCCGGCAGCCCTGTACCATTGCTCCCCCCAGTCCTGAGGCCAGTGAAGATTGGGAAGGCCTCCAGTATCCAGCAGCAGCTACCCACATTGCTGGAGTACCATTCTCCTGGTGCATTTTTGGCAGGGAAAGGAAAGAGCAAACACATGTTCTTCCAAGAGCGCTCCAATTGATTCTATGTGCTGTAGCCACCGGGGTCCTTTAAAAACATAAACCTTATCATGTCACTTTCCCAATGAAAACCCTTTCGTACTTCCCCAAGCTATTCAGCGCAAAGCTGTAGGTTTGTGGGATGGTTAACAGGACGCTTCGATTTTCTTATTGTTGCTATTATTATCACTGCTACTACTATGAGGCTGGCCCTCAGCTTGCCACGTAGCCCAGGGTTATCCCAAACTGACTGCTGCCTCTACTTCCCAAATGTTACTACTGTAGGTGTGCCTCACTGTAGGTGTCTGTATGCACGGCTGGGGACCGCACTCAGGCTTTCACGCATTTTGGGCACGGGCCTAACCAACTGAACTGTGCATCCCTGGGCCGCACTACTAGTTAGGACTGGAGACAGGGTCTCCGTAAATTGCCAGAACTCCCGACCCCTTTGCTTCAGTCTCCTGATGGGCTGGGACTACAGGCTTGCCCGGGAGAGAGAAGAGGCTGGAGCCAGTCAGAGGAGGAACTCGTTTGTCTCCCAGAAAGAGATTTCACACAGTTCTGACAACTTGTCAGAACACCCTGCAGGAGAGACTGGAGCCAAGGGAACAATGATGGTGGCACACTACCTTTACCAAACTGCTTAGTTACACACAGCCTTGCCTTCTCCTGGGACCCCCAAAGGTGGGCCTGTGTGTGTGTGTGTGTGTGTGTGTGTGTGTGTGTGTGTGTGTGCTCGCGCTGAGGGGTGGGCACCGGGCCTCATGTTATCAATGTGACCACGCTGTAATCCCCTTCTCCACTTTTCATGGCTGTTTACTTGTCCTGTCGAGGATGAGTGGCGGAGCCTTGCTTGTTTCCACCAACTGCCAGGGCCTGGGACGTGACCCTAAGGCCGGCAACAGATGACTGTGCTCGTGGTTTGGGTAACAGGCACGGAGGCTGGTTCTGTGGAATGCAGGTTTCACTGACCCCCTCAAACCCTCAGCCGGGGTATGGCTGTGTCAGCGCCCCCATGGCTTCCAACGTCAGAGAGGCCCAGGCTTCCCTACCTCTTCCCTGACAGTCTTCGCCCTCCAGTGATCAGCGTGCTCTTATGAATACTGACTGGGTGCCCGACATGTCTGGAGTGCTACGCATTTAATCTTCACCCCTTTTCTGTGTGGTGGGCCCCAAGATCACCATTTTAGGCACGAGGGAAGTAAAAGCAGAGAGGAGGCAAGTCCTCCAGAGTAAATGCAGCAGGACTGAATGGCTCCCAGCCTGCCCCTTGTCTCCTTCAAAATCGGGTCGGCTCTTAAGGTCGTCTTTACAAAGTATCTGGCTGCTGGGCGGTGGTGGCGCATGCCTTTAATCCCAGCACTCGGGAGGCAGAGGCAGGCGGATCTCTGTGAGTTCGAGGCCAGCCTGGTCTACAGAGCAGAGTTCCAGGACAGCCTCCAAAACAATACAGAGAAACCCTGTCTCAAAAAAAAAAACAAAAACAAAAACAAAAAAAAAACGAACAAAAAATGAATAAATAAAAAATAAAGATCCAACAATATAACACATTTTCTTTGTTTCACTCCCTCCTGACCAGGCTCTGGTTTGGATGTGGTTGTCTCCCAAAGGTTCTATGCGGGAGGCTTGGTCCTCAGTGTGGCAGGGTGGAGGTACCTGAAAAGTTGGGGCTCAGGATACAGGATAGGTCATTAGGTCATGGAGACTCCACCTTCATGAATGATTAATTCTGGTCTCCTAGGAACAGGCCAGGTAAGGAGTGGCCGATCCTTATACAGACAGCAGCCCTGTTTTGTTTTGTTTTTTTAGCCTGGTCTCTTGCTTCCTGCCTTACCATGTGATCCTTCTCGTGCACGAGTATCCACTCTTCCCCGATCGCACCCGCCATGTCTTGACACAGACGGAAAGCCTTCACCACGTGCCTAACAGATGAGGCCTCCTCACTCACCCTCCAGAACTGTAAGCCAGGCGAATCTCGCGTCTTTATAAAGTATCTGGCACCAGATGCTTTATTATAACAACATAGAATAGATTAAGACGCGTCATGGTGTTTTGAAATTTTCTGTGCAATGCCACCTTGTCCCTCATGGAGGCAGGTCAGGGGGACTGAGGCTGACCTGGGAAGGCAGGGACTGGCTCCTTGAAGAAGGCTCCTCTGGGTTGGACTCCCACCTCTATGCCCACCTCCAACCCCGAGAAGGATCTGTCTGTTCTATCACAGTCTGTGGTTTTGTTCTCTCTTCTCTCTGTGCCTGGCTCTTCTCTGTAACTGTTGCTTTCACTCCCCGGCTGACCTCAGGGTCAGTGACTGCTACTTTGTGTCAGGGACCCTTCTGATCTCCTCAGGCAGCAGCTGTTTTAGCAAATCCTGCCTCGGGTCTCTCTCTGTCAGTGGCCCCTTATCTCTTCTCTGTCGGCTCACTTTCTTCTCTTGGTGGGCTTTCTTTCCGGTATGTACAGCTCTGTGTCCGCCCCACAGGACAAATGTGGCAGCACCTCTGGGCAGGAATTGTGTGGTGAAGGCAGGCGCCCTCAAGCTCTCAAGTGAAGTTCCGAGGTCCTGCCCTGTGACGGCTACACAGAGTCTACTGGCAGGCATAGCATGAGGAGCAGGGAGGAGAAGTCATCAAGCCAGGTATCTATTCTTTCCATAGACATCTTCCCCCTGGCCCGTGGGGGTAGATGAACGAGCGTTTCCTAACCTCTGAACTGAGATGTGCAGCTGAGAGGCTTGCCCTCCTCCCTCACCCTCCAGAACCAGCCGTGGCAGTAGGCTCATGGAGTAGAGACTGTCATTACCATGTCCCACGAAGAACCCACTACAGGGCACCTGAGCCAAGCCCACATTTGGTTCCCTGGTCCCTGATGAGGGCAAAGGACGATAATGACCATCACTAGGAAAGGTGGTGGGAGTGGCCAGGTGTGGTCCAGGATGCACAGGTGAGGGAGTGGAGCGCCGAGACTCCCCCTGGAAGGTAGCAGGGACCGGTTTGTAGCTCCAGTCCTCTCTGGCAGTACGCCACTGTCCTTTGGGACATCGCTCCCTGGGTAAAAGCATTAGGACAGTCAGTGTCATGACTGTAGCACATGAAGCCAAATGTGAGCCCTTTGGTTGAGTGCAGGAGCTGTCAGGAAGTACCCGCAGCCAGCTAAGAGCAGGAAGGCTTGCGGGCAGGTTTTAAAGGAATGGAAGCTGGCTATTGGCAGTTGGGCAGGCCGTGGTATTCTTGTTATAAAGCCATGGTCCTTGTCTCAAGTGCATAGAATGCCATGGTCCTTGTCTCAAGTGCATGGGGACTCTGTCTCCCACCATAAGCGCTGCTACATGCTAAGGGCAGAGTAGGATCTCCCTGCCTGTAGACAGCCCGGGGAGTTCTCCTGCTTGGCCGCAAAGCACTTGTTTGCAGTGGGAATATGATACAGATTGCTTCCTCAGTGACCTTGGAGGAAGGTTGTGGCAGGGTGGGTGTCTGCTGCCCCCATCTGCTTCCAACCTCTCAAAGCCACTGACTGATACTCCCGAAGGAACCCGAGAAAGAATCAGTGAGCATGGTTGCCCCCTCCCTTCTCTTGATTTGTAATTATCGCCATCCCTCGGTAGCTACAGGGGGTTGGGTTCAGGACTCCCGTGGATACAAAAAATGAGAGGACGTTTGGGGTCTCATATAAAAGGGTATAGTGTTGGCGTATAACCTCTGCATATCCTTTCAAGTACTTTATTCATTTTTAACATTTCTCAAAAAAATTTTTGTGAGTTCTCTGTGTGGGGGCCAGAGGTTATTTTGTCAGTATCTCTCACACTGTTCGGGGAAGCTTTTTCCTTGAGAGAAGCCTTCCCGCCAGCCTGGTTCTAGAGCCACATCAGTCCCAAATAAACACACAGGAGACTATATTAATTATGAAGCTGTTGGCCTTGCTTGTTTCTTACTGGCTAGCTCTGTCTTAAGTAATTACCCCATAATTGTTAATCTAAGTATGTCTCTTACCGGAGAAGTTTCCGGGCTCCTACCCCATGGCGTTACATCTCGACCCTCTTGTGTTTCTCCTTCCCAGAGTCCTCCTGGACTCCTAGTCCCACCTATCTAGATTCCTATTGGCTCAACAGTGCTTTATTGACATAATCACAGGACTTCCTCCACATCACACACTCCATCTTTTACTTGTTTTAAAACAACATCTCTAACTGAACCTTGAGCTCATCTGTTCAGCTAGACTGGCTGGACAATGAGCTCTAAGGGCCTCCCTGTCCCCTTGTCCCCACGGCTGGGATCACAAAGACTGTCGCAGTGCCCTGCAAACGTGCGGAGGCCGGAGGTCAGCTCACATCTTCCTCATCACTCTCCACATCATCATCATCATCATTATTAATTATTCTTGTATGCACCACCACGCTAGCTTTAAAAGGATCGCTCTCTGTCTCTGACTCTCCTGTCTGTCTATCTCTCTCTCCCTCCCCCTCCCTCTCCCCTCCATGGCACACATGTGGAGGTCAGAGGATGGTCAGCTCTCTCCTTCCACCTGGGGGACCCTCAGGGTTGAGCTCAGATTACTGGGCTCAGTGGCAAACATCTTTCTTTACCTGCTGAGTCATCCCGTCAGCTCAATGCACGACCTTTTGTTTGAGAGCTTGGAATTTGCACTCAAGTCCCCACGCTTGTGGGGCAGGCAATCTGCCAATGGAGTTATCTCCATGTCACCCTCATACGCTCTAAATAATTTCTAGACTAGCCACACAGCCCTAATGCAATGCAAATGCCACATAAACAGTCATGATGTGTATTGTTAAAGGAAAACGAGAAGAAAAACGTCTATACGTTCAATATGAATATGATTTTATTTGAGGGTGTATATCAATCCATAGTTTTGATGCATTCAGATGTTGCGCCATGGGCTATGTTTGACTTATTTTTTTAAACTAACAACGAAGCAAATATTCACCAATAAAACAATTTAGAATTACAACACACGGTGAAATGAAGGCGTTAAGTTAATCATATTCCAAGTGTTCTCAGGGTTTTCAAAATTATGATATTTTAAATGTTCTTCTAACAAGTTTTAAACTAGACTTTGCATATCTAAAATTTTTGTTTAAAGAATAAGATATGCTAAGTTTAGTTAAAGGACAGAATTCTATAGGAATGTTCAGTGAAAACCACAATTTAAAATTTGGGTCTCCCAGAAAGTAAGAGTCCCTCATGGCGTCACATGCAGACACTGTGAAAGGTTCAGGCATTATGCTGGCCTTCCCTGTTACCTGGCAGGATGCACTCAGGCAGCACTCTGGCCAGCCCAGAGTTCTGTGAGAACCACGTAAGTGCAAAGGACCCTTTAAAGGACTGACCCCCGCCCACTTACACTCTGTTTTACTCTCGTCTTCCTCTCCATCTCATCTCTCTCTCTCTCTCTCTCTCTCTCTCTCTCTCTCTCTCTCTCTCAGCTCTGCGTGGTTACCTCTCACCCCCCTTCCCTCCCTGTCTACCAATAAACTCCATGAGGTATCGTTGAGTCACGGTTTGTGTCTCATTACTGGATGCACCTAAACATTTTAACAACATTGGCTCCCTAACCGGAAACCTAAACATTTTAACAACACACTGCCCATTTGAATGCTTACTTTGCATCAAAATGTGTTATAACTTCAGAGAGCATTCAGGGGTGTAACCAAGCATACTATTTATGTGAACTCATTAGTAAGAATTTTCATCTTTTTAAAACTCCTGTAAGTGTCATAGTATACCCACAAGTACATTTGTCTACTTATACATGTATACATTATAGGCTAGGATTTACATTTGAGGAAGAACTTGCATTTTAGCATTTCTTTCTGACATTAGGTGGCCTTGCTTAGGATTATACACTGTGGGTCCATCCATTTCCTGAAGATTTTGCTATTTCATTTTTCTTTAGAGCTGAATAATATTGCATTTTGTGTATGTAGCAGATTTTCATTTTTCATTCATCTGTGTTGGACACCTAGGTTGGTTCTATTTCCTTTCTCTAATGAATAACAGCAATAAACAGAGGGGGTGCAAATATCTCTATGGTAGGGGATGGAGTTCTCTGGGTTTATGCCTAGGAGTGGAATAACTGGACCATAGGGCACTTCTATTTTTAATTTTTTGAGAAGCGTCCAAACTGATTTCCATAATGGCTGTGCTAATTTGTACTCTGGCTGTGAATAAGGTTTCATCCTTGACTACATATTCTCTCCAACACTTGTTTTCATATTTCTTGATGGGAGCCATTTTTGACCCCAGCGAGGGGGGCATCTCACGGGACTTTTAATTTGCATTTCCTGATGGCGAGGGAAGTTGTATTTCTTTGTTTGAAAGTTGTCTACTTAACTTATTAGTCCGACAGGTTCATTTCATTGATGCTTGATTTCTACAGTTCTTTTTAATCCTTGTTATTAGCCCCTAGCCTGAGGTTTGACGAATAATCCCCCCGCATTCTGTGGGCTGTCCGTGTGCTCCTCTGAAGGCTTCTTTTGCTGTGCAGTGACTCTTAAATTGTATGTAGTCCTACTTGTTGACACTTGAGGCTGGTTCCTGTGCTACTGGTGCTCTCTTCAGAAAGTTCTTGCCTACCCCAGCGTCTTGAAGTGACCTGTGTTTTCTTCTGTAACATTCAGTGTTTCAGGTTTTAATTTTAGTTTACTACTATGCTGTTGTTTGGTGGTGAACGTTTCAGGTTTTAAATTAAGGTCTCTGATGCAGGGTGGTGGATGTGACTGGATTGGGTCCAGGGGGCGAGAGAATGGAAGGCTTTCAACATGCTTTCTTTGTTTCAACATACTTTTTTTTTGTTCTGTTCATGTAATTTTGAACTATAATATGACTTGGGGGCATTGCTGGTCTTATTCCATTGGTAACCTCACCTACGTCTGCGAATCTGTTACCACCCTGGTCAGAATTGAGGGTGATTCTAAGGAGACTTCTTGACCTTTGGCTATCCCACTATGGAGACAGTGGCTCTCAGGAAGCTGGGATTCTGGGAAGTCGGATGCTGGAAGAGGGGAAGGGTCAAAGCTTGGTGCTAGACAGAGGGGGAAGCTTGTCTCCCAGCAAGAAATTCACAGTCATGGCGACTGTCTTTCAACACAGATGAGAGCTAAGGCAATGACGGGCAGGGCCACACCGTGGCCAGGACGACGTAGCTATGCATGCTTTTTGTCCTCTGTTGAACCCAGACTTCCTGTCGGGACCCTGAAGATGGGTTTCGGGTGGGCGTGGGACCTCTCAGCCTCCTCCTTTGCTCCCCCTCCTCCCAGTGTGGCCTCACTGAATGAATCCCCTCCCCCATCTTACACTATTGCCTGGGTCTTTAACTGGCCCATTTAGGACAGCTGGTAGAGCCTGGCTTGTTTATTTAGCAGGCCTGAAGCAAGAAGAAGCCTGGCTTCTGAGGGGAGTCAGGAGTCCCTGCCAAAAGCCCTCTAAACCTGCCCCTGGTAAGTCCTGTGGCCAGAGTGGCTGTTCAAATGCGTGAACACTTCAGATCAGAGACTCACCTGCAGCTTCCTGGTGACTTGGGTTCTCCTCGGTGGCCTGCATGGCCCTGTATGGCCTCCCGTGCCCTGAGCCTTTTCCCAGCAGCTGCCTTGGGCTTAATCTATTCTTGTTATGCTCAGTGCTT